GAGTTTTTAGATGAGTGAAATTGTCAATGTTTCCAACCACTTATTTTGTCCAGATAAAAACTCAGAAAAATAAGATGTAGGGGTTGTGGTTTCACTCATTATCTTTCAAGATTAATAGAAAGATTGTAAAATGGTGTCATTAGTAAACTGTTGAAGTTTGTCCACCCATAGTTCCTGGTTATTTTCTTAGTATATTTGGGTATGTTCACTAGAGTAGAGTGACCCTTAACCCTACCTGCATTCCCCTTTTCCCTAACAGTAGTATTTTGGCACCCAGTGATATGCTTAGTAATACTTATCTAAAACAAGTAAAAATGTTCTGAGGTAAAATCACTCTGAATCACAGAATCTCTGAGTTACAAGGGACAACCTTATCCAGGGGTACTTAACTTTTTTGGTATGTCATGGATACATCTGGCAGTCTACCAAAGCCTATGAGATCCTTCTGAGAAAAATAAAATAAAGCAAAATAAAATGTGAAAGATTATAAAGGAAACCAATTACATTGAAATACAGTTTTAAACATAAATAAAAGCATTTATAGTACCCAGGTTAAGAAGCCATCTTTCTAGTCCAACCCATCTTGAGCTATTTGATCATTATTCTCTTCATCATTTTGTTTAAGAAATAGGTGAGGTTATTTTGTGTAATTGAAAGAACATTGGATTTGCAGTCCAAGGACCTAGGTATAAATTCTGACTCTGCTATGTGATAACTATTGGACCTTGGAGAAGTCCTTTCCCTCTGAATCATAGTTTTCTCCTCTGTGTTACATTAATTGACATCTATGATTACTTACATGTCTAAATCTCTGACCTTTGCAATATAGTCATTGAGAAAAGATAAAATCAAAATTTTTATATCATTCAACATTCTCTTAATTTCCTTTTGAAGGAGAGCCATGAATCTCAACTAATCACAGATACAAAGTTCTAGCATAAAGAGAAAGATTGAGGACAATTAGAGCAAGAAAACTCAATGAAGACATTTGGTCTATTCTATCAGCCATGATCAAACTATTACATAATCAGAGAATTCACTCCAAAATAGAGAGCTGTGATGCATTTCAAAAAATGAAAAATTATCACACACTTCTATATGTATGCATATATTTCTATCTATTTCAGTATCTATCAATACCTAACATCTATTAATCTCTCCCTCTCTCGATGTTTAACCTAGAGAAAACAAAAATTTGAAGGAGGAAATTATACTTAAATTCAAATATTTTTAAAGCTATAATTTGAAAATAGTTATTTTATTTTGTTCTAGAGGATAGAATTAGGATCAGTGAGTGGAAATTACAGAGGCCAATTTTAGCTCAATATAAGGAAAAAAAATCTTAATAAGTAAGAACTGTTCCATAATGGAATGGGCTATACTATATAGTCCTGATAATTTTCTCTTGAAGGGTATTTTATACTTGCATGAACTGATGCTCAGTGAAGTGAGCAGAACCAGGAGAACACTGTACACAGCAACAGCAACATTGTGCTATGACTGACTTTGTTAGACTTAGCTCTTCTGGGCAATGCGATGATGTAAGTCAGTTCCAAAAGACGCATGATGGAAAATGCCTTGCACATCCAGCGAAAGAACTATAGAGTCTCTGAATGCAGATCAAAGCATACTATTTTCTCTTTTTGTTGTTTTTTTTTAAATTTTTTTCTTTCTCATGGCTTTCCCCTTTTGTTCTTATTCTTTTTTCACAACATGACTAATGAAGAATTATGTTTAATATGATCATGCACTATAGACTATATTGGATTGCATGTTATCTTGGGAAGGTGGGAGTGGAGGGGAGTGGAAATTAGGGACTCAGAATTTTATGAAAGTGAATGTTAAAATCTAAACATAAAGAAATAGATAAAAAAACCAGAAAGAAAGTATTTCAATTTTGTGGAGAATCAAAAAGTCACAACCTAGTTTGCCTCAGTTTCTTCATCTGTAAAATGAGCTGGAGAAGTAAATGTAAAATCAGTCCAGTATCTTTGTAAAGAAAACCCCAAATAAGGTCACTTTACTCATTTCATCTTCTCTCCAAAGGAGGAGATATAGTAGTTGGAACGCTGGACTTGGAATCAGGTAAGATCTGGGTTCAAATGATACCTCTACACTTATTAGTTGTATGACAATTGACAAGTCATTTTACTTGCCTGCTCCTCACTTTGCTAATTTGTACAACAGATAGCAATTATACCTATATCAAAGCATTGATATGAGAATAAGAGGAACTTTTATATGTGTGTGTGTGTGTGTGTGTATGATTTTAAATTTTAAAGTGCTGTATAAATATAACTTTTCCCTTTCCCCCCTTACAAACTTCTATATTTTTTAGTCATTAGGTACTTTGCCCTTCCAAATTTAATCAACCTTTTGGATAACCCTCAAATACTGAGTAACACTAACTATCCTCTACCAAAGTCTTTTTACATTGCCTCATCATGGAATGGTAATAAACCTTAAATTTTTTTTAACATTATGTCACTGAAGCATAAGTTTGGTCATGTATATGTAAACTAGAATGGATTTGAATAGGTAAACTTACAATAGGACTAATTGTATAGATATATAAAGAGAAATTCATGCCTAGGAAAAATGATTTGTAAAACAGAAACTCTCATACACTGTTGTTTACCGTATAGGGGGTCATGATCTGCATCATTGAAAAGAATATACATACCAATGATTACTTGAAGTATTAAAGCATTATTGGCCCTGCTTTCCAAGATCAATTCCAATTATATCAAAATCTAAGGTAGATAGTTGATCTTGTGTTTTCTGTCTATTACTAGTTGTTCTTCTAGTATTTTATAGTGCTTTCAGTTGACTCTCATTGTATCAGAATTGCTATACCATCACTTCCATAAATCCTTCTCTGTTCCCCACTCCCATCTAGAAAAAAAAAATCTCTCCTTCCTCTGCAACACACATTACTTATACCTCTTCTTTGAGTTGTCATATTTTAATTATGCATTTGGACAAGTCAACAAACATTTATTAGGTACTATATTCCAAGCACTATGCTAAGTACAGTGTAGTAACACAAATATGCACTAGGTATATGTGTTGTTTTCCCTACTCTACAATAAGCTCCATGAGGGCAGGAAGTGCAAAGTTTTCTTTTTGCATCTTCCATAACACCTAAAATATCACTGAACACATACAAAGCCCTAAGTAAGTGATTATATAAAGAAGGAAAGAAAGCACCAAGAAAGAGCAGAGTCATTCTATAATGTTATTTAGGATGGAGAGGGATGGGAAAGGGAGTCTAATACATCTGTACTATTTTTCAGAATTGCCTTTTATATTTTTTTTCAATTTAGAAACCTCCAGGATATTGCATCAAAAATATTTCTTGGTATGTTTACATGCTATTTGGTCTCATGTCTCATGAAAGAGAGATAAACACACTGATCTGCTATGTGAATAATAAAAATTAATTGCCAAGGAAGCTTGAATTAAAAGACATCAACAGAAAATGGAAGATAATGGAGTTATTATAGGTGGTCAAATCATGATGATAAGAAATGGAAATGAATTTTAAAATGATATCATGCCAATCTTTTCCCAAATTGAGATTTAAACTACATCCCAAGCCCTAAATTAAGAATATTATATCTTCTCTGGCAATACAGAGGTCTGTCACAGATAATTATTATTACAGAATAAAAGCTTGATATTTTCAGAAATCTCTCAATTATTCCAGAATTAAAAAAAAAAGGTTTGAAAACAGCCAGGAGCTGTAGTTGTCTAAGCTGCATAACAAGAGGCAGTGATGCAATCATCTAAAGTAAATAAAGACAATGATTATTTTACTTTGGGTTTTTGTATTTTCTTTTGATGGGGGTAGGAAAGTGTGTCAGAAAGAAGAATTTAAAGTCAACTAAACTGTAGGTTCATTTATGACAGAAGGAACTTTAATAAAAATTAAGGAAATCAGACCTAACATAATTCAAAGTCTACTTTAGGGAATTCCATTTTGATTTCTTTACACCTGTTAACATTTGAGTTCCTTTCCAGGCTTCTCTTCACACACACACACACACACACACACACACACACACACACACACACACACTCTCACACATGCATTTGTAAGCACTAACACACACACATGCACACACCATACACACTGTGCAATTTTATCTTTCTGCATTCAAAATATGAAACAGAGAAGCAATAGTCCTGAACTGCATGCTTATTAAAATGCTGTACTACACATTCTTCTTTCACCAGTTTAGGAAGTTGAAGTAGGGGAAATAAATTAATGCTAAAAAAAGAGTAAACATCCTCTAATGTTGAAGGGGGGAAGGTGACTACAGGAGGCAGGCTAATTTCTTTTCGTGCATCATTTATAGTGCCCTTTTCAAGAAGTAAAAGTTTCATCTTAAGGCTTAATAAGCAGTTACGGAGGCATTCCTTGAAGAAGAAGAGGGAAAAAACCCTGCTCTAATACAGTTTCAGTGTTCAGATATCATGAAATTTCACAGCTCCTGGAAAGGCAGTATTAAAAACCACTAGCAAAATCTGGAGTTTAATGTTTGTTTTTCATCTTTACACTGGTTTTGCCTCATTTTAATACACATCCATAAGTGAGAGTCTATTTGGAAGCACCTACTATTAAAATGTGCCTGCCTGCCCAGTATCCTCCCAACTTACTCCAGAGCAGAGCCAATATTAACACATTCACAGATTAAAATATACAGAAAATACAGCCGTACTCTTAGACTCTTAATCTGTAGCCTGGCTCTATCGCAACATCCCTAAATAAGCAAACAAAAATGTCACAACAGCAATGAGGATAAGGCTTAACGGCATTAGATACAACTTTCAAGATAAACAATCAGAGGTTGTGAAACCCCAGCTACAGGAAGATTCCACCAAATATTATTATGATTATGATTATTGTTTACTCTGATTGTACTGGGTTAGCAGCCCCAATGTACCAAAAATCTTAATGCTACTATAGATTAAAGTGCCATTCATATAAGCCTTACCTTGGCTGACTTGCCCTAACTGGTGACAAGGAACTTAATTTACAAGAAGCAAAGGGGGACTTTCTCAGTGCTAACAGCACCATACAGCTGCTCCCAATCCTCAGAGAGCCACCCGACTCCGGCTCGGGTACCTCCAAACCCCTCGGCTGAGATGCACTGCTTCTGCAGCTCAGGAGCGCGCCTCTGATTGGCCGGCACCGCCTGTCTGCCTGATCCGCTCCTCTCCTCTCTTCTCCTCTCCCTGTTTCTCTCTCCCTTTCTCTCTCTCTCTCTCTCTCTCTCTCTCTCTCTCTCTCTCTCTCTCTCTCTCTCTCTCTCTCTCTCTCTCTCTCTCTCTCTCTCTCTCTCTCTCTCTCCCTTACTCCCTTTCCCTCCTGCCCCGTTATTTTTTCCATCTCAAGCACTTTTGAGGTAGAGCGCATTCTACAGCACCAGGGCGCGGGTCCTCTTTAACCCTCTCAGCAAGGTCATGTGGTAGGAAGCATGGTTAATGATAATAACATTAAAAGCAATCCTTGTCTAACAGCGGCGTCTCTGCCAGAAAGACCCTGTAGGACTACAGCTCTTGAAAAATGACAGCCAGGACTCCGTGACAGTTAGTCCATCAATCCCTCGTGGAGGAGGGAAGGCAGGGGTAAGAAGGGGTTTGGCTGTCAGATGGAGTGGGAGTGCGCACACGGAAGGAACACGGGAAGCAGACACAGAGGCAGTGATGTGGCAAGCTGGTAATAAATTTTCATATTTCAGTGCAAAGTCGTCACAGCCTGCTAAACATTCAACTGCTGGCTCATTCATCAGTGATCCATAGTCTGGTGGTGGCACTGAGATTTTAGCTTGAATGATGTCCTTTAATGCCGTGCTCCAATCTAGCCAGGGCAGCGAAGGGTTTGCAGAATATAGATCACTCCCTTCTTTCCCCCTCCCCCCAGCTCCCAGCTTTACATCTATAAAGATGTAAAGCAACTGCATAGGCTTTCTAACCTACCCTACTTGCGCAGTTGTACCTCCAACACACGCATACACAAATGAACACCTCACCTCGACATTACCCTAGCATAAATTGTAACTGTATATAATTTCTACCACCTCAGATAACAGTGTGTTAGCGCTGCTTGACTGTATGCAAAATTGATACCAAAAGCTGAACTTTCCTTAACGCTATCTCTCCAACCAGCGTCCATACTCAAGCGATTTAGGTTTTAAGTTACTTAGTAAATATGTATCTGAGCCTATTCAAACTGCAATCACAGAACAGGGTTTACCCCTGTTAGGAAAATTAGAGAATAACAAAGAATCTCCTTTCCACCCAGTAAAATGTTGTGTCATGGGATAGTGTGCTTAGAACAATCAACTGAAGGTAACCAGGTTAAGAAGCTTGAGCACTGGAGAGCAAATCTAATTATAAGTATAAAAGAGTTATCATGTCTGAGGAGAGATGGTAAGGAATATTCTTCAACTTACTATGGCCTGAATAAGTTTCTTCACCACTCTGAATTTCAGTTTATATTTTTTTCAGCTTTAAAATAAAGATTAAAAAAATGCACTATTAATCACTTAATCCCACCCCCTCCCAAAAAAACCACTAGTGTATCTGTATCTACAAATACACACATATATAGAATTTTTTTTCTTTTTAGTGTTATTATTGTTGATCCCAAATATTTAAAATTGTCTAGATGTGGTTACTCTGAATTGTTTGAAAAGGCAAACAGTATACTTAGGAGATTTTATTTCTGGAAGGAGAAAATTTAATTTGTGACCCTAGCAGGAGATCAAATAGAAAATCAAACAATCAACTCTTGAAGCAATATTCTTTCTAGTTGTATAAAAAAGTACTCCCTGAAATTACACACACACACACACACACACACACACACACACGTATATATGTATACATCCATGTATTTATGTATGAATAAATGTATATCTTTTTGGTAAAGGAGATGTTTGAAATCAGATAGGAGGATTGAGATTTGGATATAAACTCTCAGAAAGACAAGGAGCAGAAATAGCTTGAATGTGCCATCTTGTATGTCCTTTGGCCATAGAGTAACACACATGGATCAATGCTTTGACACATTTCTGGGTGCACTGCATCATGCAGCTACATGTTTAAGTAGGGTACGTTTTGTATAATATCCAGATTTAAATGGTTAACTTTTTTTGTGTGTGTAGAGGATGAAAGAATTCCTCCTATAGCTTTCCCTAATGGGGAGGCTGTAGAAAAACAAGGAATGGGGTAATCACACCAAATAAAGGAAAGGGAAAGAAGAGTTCTGAGCATCGGGGTCATACAGTTTCATTTAAGAACTCCACCCTTAGACATTCTCTAGAGAAAGCCAACTCAGTTTATTTTGCTGTCTGTAGTGAAAAAAGAACCAAAATATTAGTCTGCTTGCTTGCTACTGAAGCTTTTGCTGAGGCACCATCAATATGCAGCCCAGGGAAATACTTGAAGGCAAAATGTTTTCTTGTAAAACTTCCCCAGTGCTTTTCCTGGCTACACTATAACAAGCACATCCAGTGGGTATTCATACCAGGAGACAACAGGCACTTGCCACTGAGGGAGGTGATATGCAGAGGGAATTGTGAGCCATATCAAATAGTACCATTCATCGCCAGAAGCACTATTTAGCAATGGAGAATTTGTTTATCTGGAACTTTGTTCAGATTAAGGACTCAGTATCCCTAAATGATGCAAAACACATTGAAATTATAATTGCCAGAAGTTTCCTAATGTGAAAAATGCCAATACTTTTTCAGCCTTGGAAATGCTAAATGACCAGCAATTTTGGCTCTCGCTTGTCATCTGAGGTTTAAAAGAAAAACCAAACTAAAGCACTGAAAAATCCATACTTGGGGAAAATCAAATTGTGAGAAAGTGATTTTTATGTCAAAGATTACCTCTAAAAGTGGACACTGTGTCAGTAAGCAGACTTTATTACTGAACTAATCTCTGGAACTTAAAGAACAGACATTGCTAAGGCTGAATTCCTACTTACATTTTACTGAGAGTTATAAGAATCATTTTAGAGAGTGACAAAAAACATCCAAAATGCGATTGATGTCAGACTATAGAAACAGCAAAGATAAAATTGTAATGCTAACCTCTGATACTACTTTGAGGCAAGCCTGGGAAATTGTAGCCCTAGGTTTCTTTCCATGCTTAGCTTTGTCCTGGAAATTCAAGAGATATTACACTCTTAAAATATTTTAAATAGAGAAACTGAACCTAAAGACAACTTAGCAACTTCTTATCTTACAATACAGCAATTGTGGTAGGAACTGCAACAAAACCATGATTCTCCCCCCCCCCCAATTATTTGTAACTTAAAGCTTCATCTACTTACAAGAGTACCACTAAAATAAATGTACTGGTTTTGAATTTTAAAAGGCCTTTTTTTGCAGTTGGCAAAAAGATAAAGTAAATGCACAATTGTCTTTCTTGTCCATTTTTTATTTAAACTGTTACTAAGGTATCATTATAATGCTGACAGCTTAAAAAGTCTTTCCCACTAGCATCAAGCATACATGCAAAGAAAAAAGGATTATTTAATCTTTTTACTAGGTGGTGATGGCATTTTTGGAAAGTAGTTAAGAAAGAAGACACAGAAAGTACTTTATAAGTACTTGTTGAATTGAATTTGTTGAAGACATGATCTTTCTGTGTGAGACAGTACCAATAAAAATGGATACAAAACCTATCCACAGCCACTCATAGCTAACAAGTTTTAAGACTCGTGAGTGGCCATAAGCAGCGTCAGATTGGATTAGTCTGTGAAGCGCTGTTGAAAAACAATTGTCTTTTGTAATGTTTGTAAGTACACAGATGCAGTTTATTGGAGAGATCTCCAAATAGAAGTCACCTTAGGACAGTACAAGCCTTGAGGGTGGGTGTGAGAAGTTATAGATAAGGGCTGGTGATAAGAATGTGTAAGTCATCTCCATTATAGCTACTGGTAGATTAAGGTGTATGAATGGAATGATTTTCTGCCCAAGGAGTAACTGTATAAAGGAAATAGAAGAGGTATAAGAATTGGACCTATGTTAATGGCAGATTATATTCTGTTTCATAAACTGAGTCTTTATTCCGCTTTCATTGGATTTCAGAAATCAGGCAGTTGTTTTGTTTTTCTTATAAGGACATTACATTTTTCAGACTGGTCAGAAGTCTCTTACTCTGTTGCTTCAATAGTACTCTGCTCACAAATAAAGGATAAAAATGTAACCAGCTTATTAAGTAATATTCACACAGGAAATTTTTAATAGATTAGTATTTCTTTTTTGTTTTTTGCCCTTTTCTACCTTTGAAAGAAAGAGGCAAATCACAGGAAAGCCAGCTCCTATCAAGGGCACTTCAAAAATGAATTCACAATAATAATTCTAAGTTACTCTGCCACATCAGCCCAACTGACTATCTTTACTGTCCATATTTACCTTTACATTGGTTTATAATGATAATTGACATATGTGTGTAAATAGGTATATATCACATTATATGTATATATGTATATGTATATCTCTATATTTATATCTGTATCTATATATCTATCTATATATAGAGAAGGGGATTTTTAATCTTTATCATGTCAGTGTGATGGATCCCTTTGGAAGTCAATTGAACCCTAAGGATATCTTCTCAAAATAAGGATTTTAAATAAAACATGCATAAAATAAAACACATAGAATTACAATCATACTACAGTACAGTTATCTAAATTTTAAAATAAAAGAAAAACAAGTTCATAGACCCTAGGTTAATTAAGAGTACAAGGCATTAAAGGATGCTCATATACCAAAGAAACATTTATGTCCCCAATATATAATATGTAGTAGGCAAGAAAGTGCAATTTAGTGGAGTGTTTGGAGATCCAGCATTAAAGTGAAAAAGATCTGGGTTCAGGCCCAGTCTCTGATACTTACTTCAATATAACCCTAGGTAAGTCATTCAACCTCTCAATTCCTCCAGATAATTTTTTAATGCTGTAGATACCTATGAGTTACATTGGTAGAAATAAATTCTTCACCAGAAATTCTCTATACCAATGAAAGAAAGGATACTGTTTAAAAAAAAGATACTAAAATTATAATGCTAACCTCTGATAATGCTTTGAGGCAAGCCCAGGAAATTATAGCCCTTGGTTTCATTCCATGTTTCACT